TTGTTGATTTCATCCCCTTTAATCCATGTTAGTGGTGAAGAGGACAATGAGATTAAAAGGAAAAGGAAGGTTATAAGGAGGATTCATAAACCCGAACGCCACTGAGCTGAGAGTTGGGGTGAAAGTGGTCATGTTAAAAGGAAAATTCCTTTTCCTCTTTTAAAAACTATGAAATGAAATAATTTTCATGTTTTTGCCAGTCATCGTAACCATGATGATCATGATGATTTGACGAATTGATTTGGGACAGCGCCCACTTGGTCAAGCAAGAGCAAACTTGAACACAAACAATCATCACAAACAGACATTACCAATATGTCTATAGTCAATTGGACTGTAATACTGCATAACTATGGAAAGGGAAAGCTACTGGTCACTTCAGTTAATATATTATATAATATTCCTCCTTGTTTTCACTTCCATAAAAGTGTCTGAGTAATTGCCTTGTGGGTTGTAAAGGTGTGGGGGTTGGAGTGGTGGATGGGTGTGTGTGAAGTCTAATTATCCTGCAGGAAACTAGAGTTTCCTTAACCATACCCTGACCTTAATCAGGTGTCCATAATCTAACTACAGTGTATTTGCTCATGACCTAAACTGTGCTTTGGCAGTCATGCATGTAACAATTTGAACCCAGATGCATGACTCAGAGACAAGCAGGTAGGTAAAAAGTTCCCATTTACTCAAAAACCAGACAGGTAAACCAGACAAACCTGGGGTCGGGGAAAGGGTAAAAGGTTCAAGTGGCAGGCAGGCAGGGGATCAAGCTGGCAAGTTAGGCAGGCAGGACAGAAGGCTGAAGCGCTAATGCATAAACACAATAGGCAATCTGGCAAAGTTTGAATGGGAATGGGCCAGTGTATATGCTGCAGGCCTGATTGGGTAAGTGGGAACAGGTATGCAGGTAGGCGGGGGAGGTTAGATGATGGGGAACAGCAGAAAAAGGGTTACTGCAGGTCAGGGTCTGAAATGACAGGAGACTTACTTTGTAGCAGGCAAAACAAAGAAGACATAAGAGTGTGCAGCTAAGAGTTGGCTGGCATTGTGCACAGATGTGGTCAATGATGGGCAATGGGTTTTGCAGAATTGCCAGTATCAGGTCAAAATTTAAATCAACTTCCAGTACTTTATGACCATATACCTGTAAAACTACCTGCCAGCTATAGTATACTTGGTGTTTTGGAGTGCACATGTTAACCCTAACCCTAAACCTTATCCCTGCTTAACAACAGCATGGCAGCATTATTAATGTGAGCAATGCAATGCAATTAATGCATTAGCATTTATCTCAAAGCACTGCTGGATGTAAGTACAGCATCACAGAGCTTCTAGCATGGCTTTAGACTGATGCAGCAGGACAGAACACGTGTTTTCTAATCGGAACAGCTGCTGAGCACGCATGTCAGCAGATCCATCTTCATAACAGCTAAACAAACTCCATGCTGATGAAGACTGTGTGATACGGGTGAAAGCCCTAGTAAGTTTTCCTTGAGTTGTGATTGTTTTCTCAAACAACTAGAATAAATTTTTTTTTGATACATTTGAGATTTTAGATCATTTTAGAGACGTCTTACTTTGAAAAAAGGAAAAAAAAAATTGACTTTGATATGACACACACACACACACACAGGTAAGAGTGCATAGCCTAGTGGAGTGGAGGGTGTTCATTTATTATGAAAAATATTTTAAGACAGCTGTCTCAAAATTACTTCTTCAAACTTTTTCAGTTTGAAATGCTTACAGTGATTCAGAGCACACACACAGCATCTGGGGAATTTAAAGTACGACAAGATTCCCTTCATATAGGAGACAAAAACAGGAACTGAGTGTGACATGAGACAATACGTAGAAAGAAAAAGCAAGACAAGACAAGAGGATGACGTTTAGGACCAAGTGCACCAAAGCAGCCATGCCATGATCCCTCATTTTCAGGCTGTCGTCTGCTGTGTGATGAAAAATGAAAGAGGAAGAAAACATGATTTGGAAACAAAAGAAAAGAACATGGATGGCGCAGTCAGGAAGGCAATTTCATATTTGGTGTGTGACGGATGGTCTGCCAGAGTCTTCCAGGTAAAGCCAACCCTGACTGTGTCACACTAGAAGGAGCCACAGAGTCTTAAACTTTCTTGTGTCAGAAAGTTTCTTCCATCTAACATGTCATACGGAAAGTTATGAAAGTTTGATTTTCACAGAAGACGTCAAAGTGTCTCCCCCCAGGGTGGACATTCTGATTTGATTCCACTCCTCCCATTACTGAGTGAACTCAGCTGCTCAGATTAAAATATGGGATTAAAAACTCTTTGATGCCTCGTTAGAAACCAAAACTTGCAGCTTTTTGTCAAATTGATCAATCCAGGATTTATACTAATGACGTTGATACTGAAATCCAAACTGACAGCCACCGTCTTTGTAAAAGGAAACAAGCAACAAACTTTTTACAGCCCCTTCTTCAAGTCTAACGGGGATGAGTGTGATACTCAAAAGACTGTTTTGAGTACTCTTTCAATGGCCACTCCATGCCTTTTACACATGAAGTTCAGTTTACTTGGCATGAGGAGTACTACTCAACCTGTGGAAAGTACTGTATGGTGTCTCCTGTGACTGGAGGGAGCTCTCCAAAGTTAGAAAACATAACCCTGAGGATGTCATAGTGATGTCATCAGTTAGCTCAGTTTGGGCTTGAGACTTAAAGGACCAGTGCGTAGGATTTTGTGGCATCTAGCGGTAATGTTGAAGACTACAACCAACCAAATACCGCTTCCAAGCATGTAGGAGACGGAACTTGTGAAAAACACGAGAGCCTTTCTAGAACCAGTGTTTGGTTTGTCTGTTCTAGGCTACTAAAGGAAAATGGTGGTTCAACATGGCAGACTCCGTGGAAGCAGATACAAACGTCTCATTCTATGGTAACAAAACTACACTAATTCACATATTCAGGTGATTATACTTGCTACAATAATTAGTAAGTATATTGATGCAGATGCAGGATTTTTGGAGCTGGACCCAAAGTGATTAAAAGGCAAGAAACTCTGGCCTCCATTTTTTATTATTTTTTAAAAAATCTGTCTCTAATGAGTCCCACAACTTTATGGAAGCACAGCTCTAAATGGCAAGAGTACCCCTTTAACTGGGGAGAATAAATTACACAATAAAGGTGGGCTTGAGTATTTTTGAAGGCATGAATTAATTCTTTAAATCTGGATTCATTGTTTTCTGGGCCACTTGGGTGCAGTGGAACAATCTGTTAACCATATCAACTTCATAAGATGATAAAAATGTGTTTTGTGTTAACATGTTTACACATCAGCAGAAACAGAGCAACACTAAAACTGAGTCATGTGTCTGGCCACCAGATGATGTCCAATAATCGCTGTCTTTGTAGCTTTATTTTGCGATCCGTCAACCCCTTTTTTTTTTTTTTTTTTTTTTACATATTTTTGTACATACAGTACTCTGCACTTCTGGTTAGATGCTTAACCGCATTTCATTGCCTAATCCCTGTACTTGTGCAATGACAATAAAGTTGAATCTAATCTAATCTAATGCTCCACTATGTTCACCAGCTAGTCATTAAATTTGTCTGACATGCTACCTGCACAGCACTAAACTGGCAGAGCTTCTTCACTGGAAAAAGCTTTTAAAATGCTTCATCGAGCCAAAGTATAAAAAAAACTTCCCTCGCACCCTCTTGGGGTGGTATCTGTGTCATCTTCAAGCTCGGGTCCTCTACCAGAGGCCTGGGAGTTTGAGGGTTCTGCGCAGTATCATAGCTGTTCCTAGGACTGCGCTCTTCTGGACTGAGGCTTCTGATGTTATTCCTGGGATCTGTTGGAGCCACTCCCCCAGTTTGGGGGTCACTGCCCCGAGTGCTCCTACTACCACGGGGACCACGCTCGCCTTGACCTTCCACATCTGCTCCAGCTGTTCTTTCAACCCTTGGTACTTTTCAACCTTTTCGTGTTCCTTCTTTCTGATGTTGGCGTCTGCTGGTATGGCCACATCTATCACCACCGCCTTCTTCTGCTCTTTGTGTACCACCACTATGTCTGGTTGGTTAGCCAGGACCTGTTTGGCAGTCTGAAAGCTGAAGTCCCACAGCACCTTGGCCCTGTTGTTCTCAGCCATTTTCTATGGTGTGGCCCATTGGGATTTGGGTACTTCTATTCCAAACTGGGTACAGATGTTCCTGTACACTATTCCAGCCACTTGGTTGTATCTCTCCATGTACGCTGACCCAGCTAGCATCTTACACCCTGCTAGTATGTGCTGGACTGTCTCAGGGGCATCTTTGCATAGTCTGCACCTTGGGTCAGATCTACTCTTTTATTTATATATATATATATATATATATATAAAGTACAAACCAAGCCAGTGAGGCCAACTGCCCCAGGGGCCTCAGACTGCCAGGGGGCCTCAGGCCACATGTGGAGACTACTGAAGGAGGCTGAACACCAGGGCCTTAAATGCCCACTTACAGCGCTACATAGAACCGAGGGGAACTGTTGTATTAGCTACAGAGTAATTTGATCCATTGATAGTACAAAAATATTGATTGGAGCAAATTTAATGAAACCAATGACAATTTAGGAGTCAAATGACTAAAAGAAGACGACCAAAATAATAACAAGAATAATAAATTAATTTGAGTGCTTCTCTAAAGCTATGATGAATAAATGAATGAATAAAACACATGCTAATGAAAACGACCACTGTAACAGTAACATATAGGTGTAATACAAATATAGGATAGCAGGTTAATTTGATGCAATTTGAATTGAGAAATTACTATTTAAGGACAGCATCACTAAAGCAGCACCAGCTGAAAGAAGAAAATAATTATTTTGACAGAAAGCACGTCGGGGCAGCACGAACCTCACGGACCACATGATTGACACGGGGATCTCGGAATGACGTCAGCCGTTGGCGCTGCATTCGAGGAGTGGAGAGAGAGAGGGATGGGAGAGAGAAAGAGAGAGAGCGAGCAGAAGCTGGAGAGCAGCGCGTCTTCCACAGCGGTAAGACCGGAGACTTTACCAGGGACACAGAGGAGGGTAAACCCGCATGAACTCACTTTATGCTCTTTAATAACTGTGAAATTTTGATTTGTCATCGACTGATTATACAGTAAGTCTTACATACATGAATGTGGTTACACCAGGACAGAACTTTTACAAAGGTTTTTTTACATATACACTATGTTTCTTTCTTTTTTTTTTTTTTTTTTTTACTTTTGCCACACACATAATTACACAGAAAATATGATGCATGGATAAGTATCGTGTTGCTTTAATATGCAAAGTTTTGTTTGTTGTATGTATTCATGATAGTCATTTAGAAAGAGAAAAATCCGTTAGCGATTCAAAGTGTGATCCAGTTCTGCCTGGACTTTGTCAACAGCCTGTAATGACACAGATTGGATGTACTTTAATTGGTGCAACGTTTACTGTCTCCAGTGATGTTTAAAATGTGTGCAAGGCAACTAATTGATGTCCATATCTCTCTGTTGTGCAGATTTCGGGATGCGCCACTCGTGCGTAAAACACTGGCACCGTTTCCAAAGCGCACAGGAAGCATCAAGAGGAATTACCACAACCATAAATAACCATCGTAAACCTTATCGTGGACACGTTCAACCTTTAGAAACTCATTTTAAATAGTCGGCACCGGGGGAGGAGAGAATCAGACGAGGAGGGCAAGGATATAAGACAAACGCAACATCGGCAGAATGTCATTCGCGTGGAGATAAACAAAGTGTCAAATGTTTTTAAAGACTTGGAAATGGAAAACCAACCTTGAAAGAAAACTGATAGGGGATCGCTCATTTAGTGAGAATGAAGCTGGGCGTCTGGAGCGTTTTCACATCAAGGACACTTTACCGCGGATGAACCCTCCTAGGGTGAGATATTTTTGCGGAGAAAATTAATCCGTCAAGATTATTATTTATGTATGGTTTCGTAACATCTAACTGTCTGTACAGTAAGTAGGGGAAATAACAATACATGAGAGTAGTTGACATAGTTCCTACATTTTCGTAACATCCCAGAAACTGAAACAACTAAAATAACTGACCTAAAATTACCTAGTGGAGCTTCTCAGTGATCTGCTGGTGGTACCTAGACCTCAGATTGGGAACTGTTGTTCTCTTCTCAGTTATCTGCCAGTGGTCAGAGGCAGAGCTCCTGTCCAGTGATACTATGGACTATAACTGATGTATCCTATATGAGAAGATGTCAAAAAACGAAGACAAAGAAACTAATCTTTCTCTAATCTACTAATTAATAATAATCTGTGGATATTTGTCTCGGAATGCTCAGAAGCTCTTAGTTTGCCAACGTCCATCTCACTTTCTCTTCAAACATGGAGAATATGTCTATCCCCGGCAGTGCACCGCCAGTCTGCAACGACTCTGTTGACTTCTACTCCCTCACGTCAGGGAACCACACTAACTTGAACTGCACTCTTCCCCCTGAGTTTCCCTTCTATGCTGACCTTTACATCATTTTACCGGTCATCTATTCTGTAATCTGTGCAGTGGGACTGACAGGCAACACGGCTGTCATCTACGTGATCCTCAAAGCCCCCAAGATGAAAACAGTAACTAATATGTTCATCCTGAACTTGGCCATCGCTGATGATTTGTTCACTTTGGTGTTGCCGATCAACATTGCTGAACACTTGCTGCACTACTGGCCTTTCGGTGAGGTTTTGTGCAAAGTTATCCTTAGCATAGACCACTACAACATCTTCTCCAGTATCTATTTCCTGACAGTTATGAGCATTGACCGCTACCTGGTCGTTTTGGCCACAGTGAGGTCCAAGCGCATGCCTTACCGCACGTACCGAGCAGCCAAAATCATCTCATTGTGTGTCTGGATCCTCGTTATTCTCATTGTCATGCCTTTCACTGTTTTCGCTGGTGTCTACATCAACCCCAATGATGAGAGGAAGAGCTGCGTGCTCAGCTTCCCCAGCCCTGAGAGTCTGTGGTTCAAAGCAAGCCGGATCTACACGCTCATACTGGGCTTTGCCATTCCGGTCTCAACCATCTGTATCTTATACACAATGATGCTCTACAAGCTGAGGAACATGCGGCTCAACAGCAATGCCAAGGCACTGGACAAGGCCAAGAAGAAAGTCACCATCATGGTGTTTATTGTCTTGGCTGTGTGCTTGTTCTGCTGGACGCCGTTCCACCTCAGCACCATTGTGGCTCTGACGACGGACCTGAGGACCACACCACTGCTAATCGGGATCTCCTACTTCATAACCAGCCTGAGCTACGCCAACTCCTGCCTCAACCCTTTCCTCTACGCCTTCCTGGATGACAGCTTCAGGAAAGCCTTCAAGAAGATGTTGGAATGTAGACCGGCCTGAATATGTGACGTAAGATAGAAGTCTACAGAGACTTACTACGTCAGGACAGACTCTGATGAAAAAATGGTATGGAAAAGTTTGACTCAAATCAGAAGAAGTCAGATTTGAACCTAAAGTTTGATTGGTTTGTTAAAGCTGCACTAGGCAACTTTGAACATTGTTTGCACATGATAGCAAGAGATAACCATCTTTTTATTTATCTTTAATATGTGTAAAATGTAAAATTATGTAAACTGCATACCACATTCTTAATGTGACAAAACCTAAATGCTTTATACTACAGCAAACCAAAGTGATGAGAGAGGAGTCCAGCTTCGTCTAGACAGAGAGCTGTTTGGGTGTCACTCTTCAGTTTAAATTCATCACTTCCTTTGGGCGGAGAATATATCATGTTAGCACAAGTAAATCTGAAGCCTCTTATGAGAGAAAGCGTGGTTTTCTTTGTCACAGCTGGACTGTTTTATTTTTACTGAATTTGCCTAGTGCAGCTTTTTATGGGTCTGAGAGCACAGTGAGAGAATATTGAAAGTTGACAGAAATGGGGAATATTGCAATAGAGAATGATAACAGTGACATACAGAACAATAATGGAATTAAAAAGAACCAACAGTTTGTTATACTATATAACTGTCGGCAGAATTGCCCATCATCATCGTGTCTGAAGAGCTGGCCATGAAATCTGATTGTTTTCCAAGTGAAGACTGCAAATTAAATTGTCCGAGCTTTTTCCATGATGGTAAAAAATCCAATTATGAGGCAGCGAGTTGAGATGGGTCGCTGTAAACAGTCGTGACCTTCTCTGGACTCCATCTGGACTCAGAGGACGGAGGAACACCTCGGAGGGGTCAAACATCTGCTGTGTGAAGAAAATAGAGTTCAAGACAGTGTCACTGATTTGCATGCTGTCAGTCTCATCAACGTTATGAGAATAGTCAGGGTTGGAGGGTAACAGGATACATGTCAGGAGATTAAAGGTGTTTAGTTATGAATCGCTCATTTTTATTCATTACAAACACTGGATGAAAAAAAAGTTTACCTGTAAAATCAAACCTGGTGGGATGACATATTGAAATATTGTGTGATCATTGTATGCAAAACACTTAATCTGCCTTTAAATGATGTTGGGTTTTGAGCAAAGTAATCTCAATTGAACCAAATGATACGTTTTTGTAGATCACATGAGGCTTTAGAGTTCTGTTTTTCAGGTAAACAAGCAGGTTACAGAGATCCATTTGCAAAATACGACCTGAACAATGACAAGGTTGAAGCATGGACTCTTTAAATGAAGGCACTGTTTGGATGAACAATGTGTTTGGTGCACATTATTTTTTACAGAATGTATATGTACCACTTAAGAAATGAAAAAGGAACCTTACCAACCCTGACAACAGTACTGTAGGCCTGATGTAAGACAGGCATGGGACAGGAGGGCTATGTAAAATGTAATCTGCATTGCTCGTCTCTATTTTGTTGTGAGCTTTTGTCGCCCCCTGTTGTCAACAGGGCGGCATTACCTGAAAATGCAGCCAGAGCCATTTACAGACTCTGTGCAAAGCCATTAATGAAGGGAGTTACACATTTCCGCACTGCTTGTTAAAGATTATGTACAATTTCTCCTTTCACTTCGTGGATATTTATGAGTAGCATCTTTTGGTATCTAACAGTAAAAATATGTGCAATCCAATGACATTCACATACTGCAGAAACTTAGCATCTATCTCTATTTAGTGGTATAGTACAGAGTTTGTTTTACACAGTAAAACCATGAAGACACTGAAAACATGATGGTATTGTTTGCAGAGAATAAAAACGAGGGGCTTGTTTGAGGCTTCGCTCCGTAAAATCACAATATCAGGATACTTTTTGCCGGAGATTTGTAGGACTTATATGTATTTGTTTGATGTAGTTTTAATTAAATAATGATTTAATTGTTTTTAACCATTATTGTCTATTTGAGCATAACACTTTTTTGTGTGCAGCTTTCAAGCTCACGCGAGCTCCAAATTTACAGGTGATTTCCACAATGACAATTCTAACTTTGCTTAACCAGTTCTTCTGATTGATGGATAAAGCATTATTTTTCAAAAAACCTCATCGATGCCAGTTTGCAGCATTAACTCAGCAGTAACAAACCTGCTACACCCTGCTTACCTGCTAGCCATGTAAACTCCTGATTTCAACTTTCATTTTACAGTAATTTTCTTTAAATAATGATAATAAAATATTTTAACATTTTGTGTCTGTGTATTGCGGCAATTCACTCATAGTATGTGATGCTTTTACAGAAATACTCTGATATGTGTCTGTGTGTCATCTTACACACTTTTCTCAAGTTTGTAATGGAGGAGGAACAGTCCATCAGTCAAGTAGAGTTGAAAAAGTTACTTCTTGCGCTCATTTATCCAGCATTAATCTTCTAGGTTTAAGTTATGATTCTTCTCTTCAGTGTTGTACAATTTAACATTATAGTGTAACAGACAGTTTACTTCCTTGGATGTGTTTGACTATGTTTTTAGAAATGTTGTAAATCATGAAACACAATGCCAGTGTAACTCCTTTCAGCCATTGATGGCTATAAAATCAGCAAAAACCTTTTTCTCCAACACTCCCTGTTGTAGATGACAGCAGCTTATAGAGGTTAAGCAAGCATGTGACATAAATCAGCTTCTACAAAGGCTTTGTCTGTATGGCCCTGACTGCAACAACAGAAACCATTCTGTATGTACTGCTGTAAATAGTTCAGTCTTTTCCATTTAACTGTACAGAATGTATAGTGACAGCGATGTATAGTCAAATATTCAACGTAGAACTTGTGTCACACATATGAGAAATGATATAAAATTTGAGTTGAAGATTATGAATCATTGTCTTTTATGCAGCCTGTAATTAAGAATCATGGCATCTGATGTCATCTATTTGTGTATTTTAGAATATATTTAATGTCTATCAATAAATAATAAATAAATATAAGTTTATTTTCCCCCCTGGTACTCTTACTTCTGGTACTCTTTTCTTAATATTTTATAACTTTATAACTCACTCCCAGATGTTGTGAAGAGGAAGAGCACTGTTATTATCAGTATCATCTAGTTGGTATCAGGGTCACCAGAGAGATTCTTTACATGGGCGCCTACATCCGCTATCAGCGAAAGGGCAGTATGATGGATTAGTGGTTAGAGCCACTTGTCAGTGAAAGGTCACAGATTCAATCTCAGCGATAGCCTGTTACATCCATGATGTACTGCTGAGCAGATGTACACTGGCTATAACCAGGGAGATGATGAAGGGCAGAAGAGTGAGTGGCTAGTTAACATTAAGATGGATGCATGAAAGTAAGAATCAAAATGAATAGTATAATATTAATATACTTACACTAACAGCTGCTTTAATCAATATTTTTTAATATTAATTCAAATTGGGGCACTCCAGCACCACATATTAAATCACAGTCCTTAGCGCAGAGGCCCTGGTTCGAATCTGCCCCCCGCTGCATCTTTGCGGTCATCCCCTCTCTCTCCTCGCCTTTCATGTCGCTCTCTACTCTCACTATCCAAATAAAGAAAAATACAGAAACACAACAAAAAATAAACAAATTTTAAAGACGTTGTAAAGTGGCGTGGGATTATGGGAGTTCTTGTCTTCACAACCATTCCCATCACTGCATTAAATCAGGATTTCTTCATGTTCTTTGTTCTGGAGGTTTCTGCCCAGAGCTGAATTTCCAGAGTTGAGCTGAGTTCTCCTCCTCTCCAAAAAAATGGACCAGGTGATTCAAACCAGTAAAAACACCAAATAAAGCCGTTTCACTTTAAAAAAAATCAATGTTTCTTCTTTGTTGATTGGCAGACAAAGGACATCCCAGAGGGGCTGCAAGCTGAACTGCCACTAACGTTAGCTCAGCTTGTTTCTCTGATGACTTACGATCCAGACGTCTGATGACTGAAATCCTTCATCTGGTTAAAATTCAATTCAATTCAATTTTATTTGTATAGCGGCAATTTTAAATAGAGTATAAAATATGTATACAATATACATTTCTAAGTATATAGTTTAAAACAACCAAGATCTAAAGGTGTTTGGTAGAAATGTGACTTAAAACTGGATGGAAAGTCAATTTATGACTTCTCTCTCTGGATTTGAACATTGCTGTTTTGAAACTTTTGGGATAATATAAGTACACTATTCAACAAAACATATAGCAGTGTTTTTAGACATTTTAATACGGAAATGTTACATAATAACTGTCTGCCCAGCACAAAACAGAAAGTTAGCAACTAGCTGGTGAAGAAAGTGGAACATCTAGCATCTACACATTTTACGCAGGAGTTGGTGGAGACCAAACCAGAGATAAAAGGAGAGTTAAAAGATAATGTTGGTGATATTCTTTATTTTTCTTATTGTTAAAGAAATCCCTTGACAGAGCCGGAAACAACAGTGAATTGATCCAGCTAACAAGTATTGCCTGTTGATGAGCCATGAGCCACACAACACTGTCCCTTCATTACCATGAACACGGCCACAGTTTATTTAGATCCAATCCCACATACGCCATGCTGCTGGAAATACTTACCAGAGCACCAAATGTGTATTAATTCACTGCTAAAAGTAGTCCCCAACAGAAACATTTTTAAAAAAACTACAGTGGCCAGCTGTTTTAGGAAGTTTCTTAAAAAATTAAACTACATGTTTGGTAACTGTTTTTAAGGATCTATGTCTTCAGTAGTAGTGCCACAGACTATTGTAGGTGGAAAGTATTGGCAGATGGATTAAGACATGCTGGTTTTTGTCTTGTCAAGTTGTTGAGATAAAAAAACATTTTGTTTCTTTTCCTTGTGAACTAAAATCCATTAAAGCAGCTTCAATCACAGGTTCAATGTATAATTTTTTTATTCTTTTGTATATTTACATTTGACAAGTTTTAGTAGTACAGTAGTATGGTTAGTATAAGTACACAAGTAAAAGTCTGATATTTAGTACATTAAAATGTGTATAAAAGCATATGAGCTGTGGTCATAATAATACTAAGAGGAGGACGGTTAAATCCACTGAAGAAAAAGCTTTTTTCCCTTCTGCCAAACTTATTTAACATTTCATAATTCTTTTCTTGTTTTTTTTACTACTACTACTACAACCACTACTACAACCACTACTACTACTACTTCCTTGTCTGTTTCTCGTTCGTTTACTTCACCTTCTTTGTTTTTATCTCTCTGCTTCACTTTCTCTCTGTCAGTGTAGTGTAAACAGCAATCCTCAACGCTTTCAGCAGTGTTGAAGTTACTGTAAAAGGGACGCCAGACGCTGAGGAGATCAGGCAGACGATTCGCTGCGTCAAATGTCAGCGTTAAAAGATAACATGTTTTATCCCACCCCAATCAAATTTTAAACAAATTCCTTTTGGCTGGGGTGAAAATCTAGCTAAAGTAAACTTGTCAAAACATGTTGAGGTAAAAAAAGGAACTTCTCTCTAACATTCATCACAGTCCCCATTTAGAGTGCATTTGACTCGATGCATACACTAGTAAATGTGTATTGTGAGTGTGTGTGTGTGTGTGTGTGTGTCTGAAAGAATAATAGATGAGCGCCTCCAAGTGGTCAGTTTGAAAAGGAAATGCTAATTTCTGTGTTTGTGATAAGACATTACTGTCACTAGAGGGCAGTGTTGGTCCATGTAGTTCCTCCTGGGTGTGTGTGTGGGCTTGTGTGTGTGTGTGAGTCACCGCCTTTAGCTTCATTCATGTTTCCGTCTAATATTTTGACTAGAAACAGACTTGTAGGTGGAAACAAAAGTATAGATAGCTGCAAACTTACTGCACAAAACAGAATGTATGTTAGTCTGTTTGTAGATAATAGATAATTTAACTGTTTTGTTAAAAAAGGACAGTAAATGTATTATAGATGAGTCATATTTGAAGAAATCTTACTAAAGCTGTATGGTGTGTGTACATGTAGGTACAGTAACTCGACTGGAGTGTTAGTGTGATAACTGTTTTTCATCCTTTAAAAATTCCAGATGTTTACATGGGAAACAACTGTAGATGGCAGTGTGTATCTGTACAGGAGAGGTGTATGTGCGCGTATGATTCCCTCAAAGAAAAGTGTTCTCTCTCTGCCTCACTCCCTCTCTCACATGTACAAATGTACACTCCTCCACAAACGCAGACCTTGCATCACTCTCACATCTCTCAGGAGCTGCATTCAGACATGCCACCCTAGACATTTGCTTTCATTTTTGAAAAAGTTATTCCCCCACAGCATCCCTGCATGGCAAGTGACGTATGGTTAAAGCTAGGGAAAGGGAAGTCATGGTTAAATGATGAGACTAAAAGGTCTATAGCCATGCTATGAGGCTGATGTTAGATTGATCAAACCTTTAATGTTCTACCTCTGATAGGGATCTAAGAATAAGAGAAAAGTGCATGCTGTTACAGAAGACTTTCTTTTCTGTATGGTGGCCATTTTCTGGCTTTGTTTGTGAGGCTCCACTCTACATGGTCAAACTTGGCAAAGCATGACTAATCCTGTTAGGTGGCAGCTTGCTAACATGCTCATTAGCTTGTTAATATATGCAATTCTAACTTTTAACATCCTAATACTAACATTTAGCATGTTACTGTATGGCCACATTTAGACCAATTTTAGCTGTGTGTGAAAAAACATCAGTAAACTGTAACATAACGCCATATTTTGTACTATGTTTTGGAATAATTTCCATAAACTTAACCAAGTGCTGCTAATGGCTAAACATAACTAAAACATTTTTATTTATTAATAATGTAAATGCTGTTCTCAGGAAAATAATTATTACAAGATTGGATAGTTTTGTGTAAAACATCTGAAGTATGTTATCAATTAACGTTTTATTGCATTCAGAATCAACATTTCTGTGACTTGCCAGATATGTTAATTATAGACCTTTCCTCGTTATGTTTATAGGGAACAAATCCTGTCGGCCTTACGTTTCCTTAAAAATGTATACTTGCAGTTGCAAATTAGTTATATATAAACATAATTTCTAGGAGATAGGATAACCTCTGGGGAACATGAAGGTCTGTGGCAGTTTTATTGATATCCATCCAATAGCTGTATGATACTTGACATTAGACCAAAGTGTTGGATGAAGAATCAAAGGCAAAACCTTCACCTCAGCTTCTCACTGCACACTATGAACGACACAGCTCTTCCTGGGCACGTTTATGTTGGGCACCATATTTCCCCCAAAAATATTTAAAAACACTTGCACATTAATGTTGAATGGGTCACACACACAATACTGTATAACTTTGGAAAGATTTAATTAAAAAGGTATGAACAGTTGACACGTGTCAGGTACTTACTCTTATGTCACAATACGAACTGACAGACGTTATCTGACTTGTCAATCTCTACCTTCTGAGAGCTATCGGGAATCAATAGAGTATTGATTAAGCTGTTCCTTTCCTTCCTCTGTTCACACACACACAAAAAGCCACCAGAGATTTGCTTTAAAGAGCTTAAGTTAAACTGCAAACAGCATCTCTTGCCTGCAAATATGTTTTTTTTTTTTATTATTTGGCTGGGAGAAAATAATTGCATTTGTGTAACACGATTTTCAGCCTACAGACAAACAGGAACTTCAAGTGGAACTCAGTGTTTTCATGGCCATGATAGATTTTTTATTTCTTTTTTCCCTTTATTTCTACCTAGCTCTAGTACGGCTACACTGAAGAAGGTGGTTGTATATTTTTCTGGGTTTTTTTTTTTTTTCTCAGGCAAGTGACCATATAACATGTCTTTTGCACCAGCCTTACCCCTTGTGCAATAACTATTTGAGTAGTATACATTACACAAGTAATCTTACTTTTACATATGTAAAAAGTACAAAGTACAATTTCTAAATGTTCCTTCTCTGGCTGTAACCTGTCTTTGTGCATCTACATTTTGGAAATGGAATTATTTATTTAGAAATATTTCCAAATAGTCTTAATTATATTATTTATTAT